CTCCAACTCAAAAAAATAAAATAAAATAAAGAGAGAGACGAAGTCTTCTTATGTTGCCCAAGCTGGTCTCAAACTCCTGGACTCAAGCAGTCTTCCCACCTTGGCCTCTCAAAGTGCTGGGATTATAGGTGTGAGCCACTGTACCTGGCCTAGGTCACTCTTTTAAGAAAAGCTTGGCCTTATGGGTCACTGTGTTCTTTTTATTCCTGGAAGTAAGGTGGAGAAAAATGTGCCAGGAGAGTATAGTGGCTGACATCAGAGAGGTCTGCTTGGGTATAGATCCCAGCTCCTGACTTATTGCTGTGTGGTCATGGCACACACACACACACACACACACACACACACACACACACACACACACTTTGAATGCAATGCCTGGGTTCTCTCGTCTGTGATAGCAAAAATGATACCTACTCCTTAGGGTTGTTGCAAGGACAAAGTGATTTAATGTGTAAAGCCCTTAGGACAGTCCTGGCACTTACAAGGCCTTAAATAAGTGTTAGGTAAGCCAGGCTTGGTGGTTCAGTCTGTAATCCCGCGCTTCGGGAGGCTGAGGTGAGGGGATGGCCTGAGCCCGCGGGTTCGAGACCCGCCTGGGCAGCGAGACCTCATCTCTACAATAAATCAAAAGTCAGTTGGGCATGGTAGCGCGTGCCTGTAATTCCGGCTACTCGGAAAGCTGAGGCAGAAGGATCACCAGAGCCCAGCGGGTCGAGGCTGTGGTGGCCAGGAGTGGCCACTGGACTCCAGTCTGGGCGACAGAGTGAGACTCTAACTCAAAAGAAAAAAAAAGTGGTAGGTAGTATTGTTGTTGTTATGAAAACATTCTATGTGCATATGCCATTAATCAATTAAAACTTTAGACCACGAGTGGTAGCTCATGCGTGTAATCCCAGTACTTTGGGAGGCTGAGGTGGGAGGACTGTTTGAGACCAGCCTGGGCAACACAGCAAGACCCCATCTCTATTAAACACACACACACACACACACACACACACACACACACACACACACACTCTTTGAATGCAATGGGTACATGTTAAGGCACAAATGGTTTCAATTTTACATCACAATAATGGCATGCCAAAAATACCCCAAACAGGATTTTAGCACTTTGAAATACTAAGGCAGACAGAAGTACTGCAAACTGGGAGGCCAACTGTGAATGTCTCACGAGGGTTGGAAGTAGAGTTGTCACTCAGGGGCAGCTGGAGAGAGAGGAAGGGCCATGGGGAAGGGGTTGCTGCCTCCACACACGGAGTGCTCTCTGTGGCCCAGTACACAGCAGGCCCTCAACAGAGATAATAGCCCAGGCATGGTGACTCACGCCTGTAATCCCAGCACTTTGGGAGGCTGAGATGGGAGGATCGCCTGAGCCCGGGGCGTAGAGACAAGCCTCATCTCTACAAAAAAAATCACAAAGTGAGTCGGTCATGGTGGCTTGTGCCTGTAGTCCCAGTTACTTGGGAGACTGAGGCAGGAAGATCCCCAGAGCCCAGGCATCGGAGGCTGCAGTGAGCCATGATCATGCCACTGCACTCCAGCCTGGGTGACAGAGTGAGACGTTGACTCAGAAAGAA